CTGACATTCTAAGTAGCTTAATTGCGAATTAAAAAATTCTGTACCTACTTCGATGATATTTTAAAACTTAAACTTCCTGAAATATAGCTTCTATAAAGTTTCATCCTGTCATGTACAAAGTATTATAAAGTGGCTCTTTTCTTCAACGAAAATATGGTTTTATTTCACTATTGCACTAAAATGTTGTACAGCAGATTTGAAGTTAGCGAAGCCAAAATTACGATTGGTTTATTTATTTTTACGGGATTAAACATCATTTTAGAGGGATCATATTATCGAAAAAGTTAGGCTAATATTTATTTAACATAAAAAAAAGGAGGAGAATATAGGTATAAATATAATATTTTTAATATTCCGTATTTATAATTAATTTCAATATTTATAAAAAAAAGAAAACACTTTGTCATCGTTATAATATAAAATTTCCCACCCAAAATAGATAAAGATATTTTTAAATTAAAGTTACACTACAAATTGACGACCATTGTTATAAATTAAATTAATATTTATTTTTGATCAATTCTTAAAATAAATTGAATCCTTAATATTATTAATAAATAAATCATTGGCAATTTTGGCTTTGAATTTAGAAATTACAAAGATATTTTTATTTTAGAAAAAGGTCTATAAAAAAATGAGTAGACTAAGAAAAAAATACTATTCTTCTAGGAAAGCAGAAAAATTATTAACGTTTTAAAGAAATAATTTTTTTTTTTTGAAAAGTTTCAAAACTTTGATAAAATTTAAAAATGAAATCATATTCTAAATTGTTGAAATTTGAAACCTTTAAAAAAATATGTTTAGATATGTTTTTTTATTTTTTGATAAAATGATGTTTATTTATTTTATAATTTTCATTTAAAAAGTTTAAAATTTTTTTTTCAAATTTTTTTTTAGAAATAGCCTAAAAAGAAACAAAATAATTCAAAATCTTGTCAAGATCTGAGTCGGGCCATAGTAAGAAAAAAATTATAAAATCAGGATGATCTGTGCAAGGTTCAGCTATAAATCTGCCAAAATTCAAATTCATAAATTTTTTGTGCTGAAAATCGAGAATTGATTTAGTCGTACAACTTTTTTTAATGATAGTATAATAAATATCCTAATAAAAAAAATATATCAAATATTGTCACGAAGCCGCCAAAATCAAACAATATTATGGGCCGCCAAATTTTGATTGTTGTGCCCCTGCTTTTCGCGATTTAGGATGGCCGAATTCGTTTTAATCTACGGCCGTCGTCCGCAGATATTTTTATAGCAATTTACTCAAAAAGAAAACCTGTTTATACTTTGGGAAAAAAAGACATTAAAATTTTAAAGAAAACCCATTATTAAAGTCGTAGCAGCTAGTGATGTTAAACGGCCCGATTAGGATTAGAGTCAAAATACCATTATGTAAGCCTGGAGATTTCGCTCATAAGTGGCATAAAAGCTTGGACCTCTATTTGCCAAATCTCGAGGCTTACATAACATTTTCATTAAAATCTTAATCGGGCCGTTTTAAAAATCGGCCCAAATCGGGCTATAAACACTAGTCTTTGTCTTGTTAATTAATGTTAATATATCAAAGTCAGAGGTTTCACCTTTTTTATAAAAAAAAATTGAGAAGCTTAAGAGCTAAGTTTATTTTTTAAGTTTAAGGGATTAGTGGCACAAATAGTTATAATATTCTATATTAAAAAAAAATTTTACAAAATTTTTTCTGTATGCGAAGGGCCATAAACGGAATTCAGGAATGTTGGGATTACTGTGTTTGCATTTAATGAATCGGGGATATTATTTGGAGAAATTATTTCAAAATATTTAATGATTAATCAGAGATCATTTCACGGTCCGATGCAGTATGCAACCTTTCTCAAGCTTCATGTTCCTTATTATTTTTTTTGTTGAAACAAACCTCTTGGAAATTGTTCACTATTTTAATCGTCAGAAGAGCGAGATTTCTGAATTGAAATTCCAATTTTCGATTTTTCTGGGGATTTCTTTAAAAGTGATAGCTCACTTCTTTTTTTAAAAATCAAACTATTAGTTCTGTGGAAGCCTTATCCAAGTCTAATCGAGTATATACTGGATAAATATAATATATCTACAAAGTAAATTATAATAAAATAAAATATATATTTAAATAAGAATTTAGAAGTAAACACTAGTCAGAAAATATATTTTTTTAAAAAGGCTGAATTGGCAGTTTTTCTTAGCAACTTTGAATTCATTTAAATAAAATAAACACAGGGAGAGCTTAAAAATAATCAATCAATAATAGAACATCCCGTTGTTCATTGCTTCTGATGCCAATGATTAGTAGACAATTCAATGAGTAAGAATCGAATAGTGAATTTCTTACTATACATATTCATACGGATAATAAAATTTACTCTTTGTTTGTATTCGATTCGAAATATTTGATTTTTTTTTAAAAAAAATATTATAAATGATTTATACGAAAATATATTGACAGAAAACGCTACCGTCAATTTATTAAAACTTGAGGGGGTATTTCTAATTCATTCGCTATTGGGAGGGGGGGGGGTAGAAGTTAGGTCTGAAGGGAACCTATATCAGAGACCAACTGGCCTGAACCTGAGCCCGGTCCGGATACACGGGCCAGATTCTAGTTTTTTTAAATATACCGAGCCGTGCCGTATATTTTAAAAATCAAATATTTTAAATCGCTACTATTACCTATAAAAATAAATAATAATATTTAAAAAAAATCCAGGCCTGACCTGAAAATAGAAGACTCGGGTCGGGCCTGGCCGAAATTATTTTTAAAAAAAATCGGGGCTGGGCCGTGCAAATGGTATATCTGCAAGTCTCTGATTTATATAATGATTGAGGGGAGATATTACTCATACTTAGCATTAACAGACTCTTGCAATTTAGTATAAATTTTTTATCCGTCCAGATAATTATAGGTAAAAAAAAATGTGTAAAGCTTTAGATGATACTCGCTACATTCTTTACATTTTTAAAATATAATGTCCTTAGGTTGATCTTTAAATAAAGTAACGCCGCGTTATACTTTATTTTTTTTAAGTACCGAAACGTTGCTAAATACTATATTAACTGATATTTTTTAAACGAATTTGATGATGACTATTTTTCAAATTTAGGATGGTAAGGTTTTTATATATTTAAAAAAATTGGGTCTAATGTTTGGAAAGTTAAGATTTTCTTCTTTTTTTTTAAAAGATGGGCATTTTATCTAGAAGAATTTTAATAGTTCCTCACTTCAGCACAAATAAAACAATTTTTCATTTATCTTGAGAACACTATTTCCAAAACAGTCTTATTTTCATCAATATCCTTACTCAGAAAAAAAACCAAATACTGTTTCCTTTATTTATTTGGCTTTTAAGGTGAATGATAAAATTCACATATTATTCCTCACTTATCCAATCTAATGGAAGATATCTAATCGACAAATAAAATAAAAACTAAAAAAAATAGTTAAATGAGGTATCAACGAAATATTAGAATATAATAGAAAGTTTAGAATTAAGAGTAACATAAAAAGTAACGAAATTACATGATTTATTAGAAAAGTGCAGTTACATTTGTAGCGCGCTACTTTGCAGCAGTTGACAAATTTTTTTTTTAAAAGGGGTAATAATTTAATTTTAAAGTTTCAAAATGGTTTAAGAAAATTTTGAAAATAAACAAAAAGTAATATTCCACTATTTTCAAATTATCGAATAATTGTTTCTCCATATTCATTTTTGAATAGGCCTAAATGGTTAGTCACTCTTATTTTTATTTTTTTTAAATGCTAATTTATAAAACGATATTTAAATATATTTTTCATATTATTTTAAATTTAAGTATTAAAAAAAAAATAATAAAATATATAAATACTATTTATATATTGTACCAGTTGGACTGAATTATAATGAAAAAAATTTTATGTTTGAATGAATGAAAATTTTTTTTAAAAAGGCATTAAAAAATAATAATTATTATTTATATATTATTTAAAAAAAATGTTAAATAATAATAAAAAAAATAAGATAAGGATTTCGTTTTTTCGATCATTTTAAAAAATTTTGAATAATTTATTAAATTTTTTAAAAAAAATATTTCGCTCATATCATAATATAAATAATACATAATCGCGAAATTTTTCCTTACAAAAAAAAAATTTACACAGAAAAATAATCTGGCAATAATTTTATTTTTTGACAATGTACATAAATAAAATAATTATAAAAATTTAAGAATAAATTTTTGTTATATTTTGTAATTGCCAACTTTTTTGAATTTTTATTTTAAATTTGTGTAATTTATATTATTATTATTCAAAATTATGATAATTAAATTTTTTTATTTTTTTAAATTTTCCAATATAATAAAAAAAAAATTCTATAAAAACTTATAAATTATTATTATATTTTTTACTCAGTAATAATTTGCAAAAGAACATTAATTATTATTGATTTCTATATATAATATAATAAATATATTATATGATTATTTCATATAAATAGTATATTTATATGTAATTTAAAAAATAAAAAGGCATTTTTTAATGAATTATATTATTATAAAAAAATTGTTTCGATAAATTTTTTTTTTCTAGTTCCCCTTTTTACTACTATTTATATATATAAATGTTTTATTTTATATAAAACACATAAGTCTATATTCTATTTTTTTTTGTATAATATAATTTTTTTTACTATACGTTATATATATTGCAAAAATATAATAAAAATAATAATAATCATTATTTCTTTTTCTCTGTTAATTTTTAATTTATATTTTTTGATATAATAAATAAAAACTTACAGCATAAAAATAATAAAAATTTCTTTTTTTCTCTCCTTTTTTCAAAAAATTATATTATTATTTTTTTCAAAATTTATTTAATAAATAATTTTAAAAAAAAAATACTAAAATAAACGAAAAACTTATATATTTTATTCTTCAAAACCTATAATATTTACTTATTTTTTTTTAAAAAAAAAAATTAAAATTACCTTCAAATAATAAATGATATTTTATATTATTATTATCAGTTCAAAAGAAATAATAATAAATTCAATTTGTTCTTCTTTTTTATATCTTTTAATCATTTAATTCATTTATTTTAAAAAATAATTATTTGATTTCCTAACATCATTATACAAATACAAATATTACTAAGAGGAGGGATTCACCTTTACCTGGGAATACTACCAATAATAAGTAATCCATTACTCATTCAAAAATTTGATATTTTATTATATATTTATTCTAACTAATATTGCTACATTTTAATATTTATGATTTTATATATTTTTGTTAAATTAACTCGTTGAAAAGTGCCGATCAAATTAGTTATTATCATATTATAAGCATTGTGAGAGATGATATCTTTATATAAAACTTTTTAAACTTAATTTAGAAATTGTAAAAAACCGACTTTATTTTTGTCATTCTTATTAAGTATTGGTCAATATTTTAAAGTTTCACTGTAATATATTATAAAATATAATAGGTAGATAATAAAAAGTGTTAACTTGAAAAAAAAAATATATTTTACGTTTTCTTTAATCTGCTTAATATCAAACAATTTTTTTATATTTTGAAATTAAAAATATTATTACTAGGTTATAAAATATATATATTTTTTTCTCTAATGTAATTTTTTTTGTAATAATTATATCTATGATAATTATGTTTCTTTATATATTTTTTTGCGTCCAAAATTGATGTATACAATAAAATACATTGTAAATATTTTTTAAAATGAAGTTATTTTTTTTATACAAAACTTACTTAACGAATAAATTAAGTTATACATATTTTTTTATATATCATTGTTTAAGATTTTTTTTTTTAAATTGCATTTTTAATTTTTTTTTTCAAAATAAAACCTAAATAAAAAAGTAATTTATTATAAAAACACCAATTATAAAAATGTAAATACAATAGAACCTACAAAATTGACCATTTCAACATGTGCTGCCTATCTTAATAAAATGACTATTTATATTGACCCTCTCCCTCTTCAACACTCGAATCTGATTATAATCCCTCTTTAATGACCACCTCATGATCTAAGAGGATACAATAAATATATAAAAAAACATTTTTTACTTTTTTTTTGAAAGTCTTGTAAAAGGGAATTTAGTAAAATAAAACAATGCTTATTTATTATTATCAAAACATAATACAGTATGTATGATTTCGATTTGTCGTAAAACATTTTTCATATATTTGTATGTAACAACTTTCTTATAAAATTGTTTGACTTGCTATAATTATCAGAAGCCGCTAATAGAGTTAAACCCTTCTCGGTTGGTGGAATTACAGTGTCAATTTCTATATGTATTTTCTCGAGTACCCCTAACCCTAAAGGGTTGGAGATATGCCTTAATACTAGTGAAAAGAATGATAAGCCTAGGATGGAAAATCCTATAAATAATAACCGCAAGTTAAACAAATTTTTAAGTAAGTTGTTACAAAATAGATGGAAATGTTTTACAACTAAATCATATTTATACTGTAGTAATGAAATGAAAATATCGAATTCAAAATTAAGAATTTAAAAGTTAAAGTAAATTTTTTTTTCTTTTTTTTTATAAAAAAAATCGTTAAAGTAATTACTAATTTTTATTATTCGCGTATTGTATATATTATATATATTTTTATGTCATTGTGTTTTAAGCAGCAAGCATTTATATTGTATAAAATGATCATTTTTTTTATTATTATTCTTTTTACATTTTTCAAAATAAAATGAAAATATGAATTTATTATGCATAATAAAATATAATAGATAGATAAGATATGAAAATATAAAATTTTATTTATAAAAGAGAATATAAAGGAAAATATCAGAGTTGTTAAAAGTTACTTTTTAAATGGATCTAGATACAGATACATCGTCTAAAATAATATCTAGATACCGATATTTTAATCAAAAATCTATCTAGATACAGATACCACATTTTTATATCTAGATCCTTTAACAACTCTGGAAAATATACGTTTTTAAAAAAGGGAATCTTCGGGCGGAGATGTTTGATCCCCTCGTTAGGATTGGCTATGCTGATGTTCTTTTCCTGCCTATAATTTAAGCCTTATCGCCCTAATAAGAGCTGTCGATTTTAGATTAGAAAGTAGATCGTAGGGTTTGACATTTTCGTGCAAAACAGAAGGGCTTGAGAAACTAACACGACTAAATTTAAATGATTAAACCTTTAGGATTTAAGATCCTATGAATTTCCACTAAAATTTTAAATCCAGGACAAAAATTAAATTAAAACCAAATTAACTTCCCCAGCGCTCGATGATGTTGACCGGCATATTTGTTTTTCTTGAAACTTTCATATTTATGGCTGTTAAGGATATGTTCGAATGTTGATAAAAGTGCAAATTCGCAAACAGACGATTTAATTAATTGAATTTAAAATTTATTCAATCCCAGATTAGGAAAAAAAAATTCCAATTTTAATTTTTCCATATTTACAAATGGTCAGATCATTTCCATATCTTTTTTTAATATTTATTAGAAAATAAAATTATTGACTTGCAAAAAATTGTTAAAAAACATATTTATGGATAAACTAAATCTTCACAACACTGTATATGCAATCAAAAGCAGAGCAAATAATAACCTTTGCAACTCGTGAGCGTCTTTTTTTATAGGCACAACACAAATATGATTAACAAAAATGGAATAAAATAAGAAACTAGTGTTGTTAATCGCTTCGATTTGAGCCTATTTTTAAAAACGGCTAACTCAATATTTTAGCCAGAAAAATATTACGCAAGACTGAAGATTTTGGATAGATAGCAAAAGGTTTATACATCTATTTACGAAGCCTCGTGGCTTAGGCAATATTCTTTCTGGCTAAAATATTGAGTTAGCCGTTTTTATAAATGGGCTCATATCGAGCCGTTTAACAACACTATGAAACAATTGGGATAGTCCTGAATAAATGACTTTTTATATATAAATAAAATGCTTAAATTGTATTTGTTGTGTACTAAATAAAATAATCAAATTATTCGTATTACGATGTGATATTCTTATTTGATTGGGAATTACGAATCGAATATTTTAATATTATATTTTTCTAAAAGAGCCCATATAAATTAAGAAAAAATTATTTATACGCGACCCCAAAAATAATTGCTTATATAACTATATCATTTATGTAAAATTATTTTTCATAGGAACTACATCTAATATATGAGCAGAAAATAAATGTTATGATTTTAAATTTGTTTTTAATCGTTCCGACACGAAAGAAAATATTTATACAAGTCCGGTTTTTAGTTTATTTTTCGATCCGAACTTTTAAAAATAATATTATTTTATGATAAGCCCCGTATAATCTTGTTAAACAGCTCGTGTGCCAATTTTTAAAATCGGCTAACTCAATATTTTAGCCAGAAAGACATTAGGCAAGCCAGCAAAATCTCGAGACTTGTGCAATATTTTTCTGGCTAAAATATTGAGAGCCATTTTTAAAAATCGAGTCGTTTAACTACGGGTCGGGTTTGAAATGCAATATGATAGTCAATAATATAATATTTTATCAAAAGCATTTCTTTCTTAAAATATTAAAACCACATATTTTATATTTTTTAAAAAAATTTGAAATTAATAAAAATTAAAAAGAGAATGTTGTATTTTAGTACTGTGAAACGAAAATAAATTTTCTTTTTTTACAATAAATAAAAAAAAACATTATGAATAAATAAAAAAAATTCATATCATATTTAAAAAAATAAATAATATTATATAAATAAAAATTCAAATTTTTTTCTTTATACAATGGAATTATTTTTTCTTGCAAAATTGAAATTAAATAATAAATTATATTTTATTAGTTAATCCCTTTTTTACTTATTATTTTAAAGGTAAAATTAAGATTATATAATTCATTAATTACCACCTACACATATACACTACAATTTATATACATTCAAAATCTAACCGTAAGTAAGTCTTAATTAATTCTATAATATTATATTTTAATATTATAAAAGAATTTTTCTTTCTTTGCTTTATTAATTTCATTTAATATTTAAAAAATTTCGGTAATTTATTATGCTCCCATTCCCAAGTCTCAAAAAAGATTCATATTTTATTGGCAGTTGTATTTCATTTTAAATAAGGATTATTTACATTATAAAAAAATTAAAAAAAATAAATAATACAAAAGGAAAGGATATAAAAATTAAAATCACAAAACAATTATAATATATATTTTTTTAAAAAAGGTGTTTTCAAATATTTAGAATTAAAAAAATAATTAATTTATTTTTTAATATTCGAAGATATAAATATTATATAAGAGTTTTAAAATCAAATTTTTTTTATTATTATTATTGTCCTTGGGAATAATATTTTATTTATTAATATAATATAATGTATATTAAAAGTAAAAAAATTTTGTTAATTTATTAAAATGTAAACCAATAATGATACTATAAGTTAATAAATTGGTGTTAAATTTATTTATTTAATCATTTATATTATAAAGATGTTAAAAAAAAATATTGCGCTTAGTAAAAAAATAAATTTTATATTTATATTTTAATAAAATAAATATATCTTCCTTCTAGTAGTAAGAAGGAAGAGATAAATAATAAATATTATTATTCACCGATAAATATTTTTATAAAATTTAAATTCTTTATTTTTTTATTACATATAAATATATTAACAAAAATATGATACTGATGAAATTAATTTTTATTTTCTTCTTTTAAACAAATATAATTAATAATATAATTAAAATTATAAATATAAAACACCTAGATCTATTTTCTTAGCGTATTTTTTTTATATTATAATTATATTATTATTATAAGAAAAGAAAAATTTCGTTATATAATATTTTATTATTATAGATAATAAAATATAAAACCTGTTTAATTTGAGCTTGATAAAAGGAAAATTTTTTTTTGGTATTTAATAATATATCTGAATTATCGATATTCGGGAAAATTAGGAAAAAGATTACTAGTTCCCTTCTGACCTAATACTCCCATTACCGAGTGCTTAAATTAGGCAAGTTTCTTTTCAAAAAAATATTATTTTTTTACACAAAATTTAAATCTTTTTTTTTATTTATAATTTTAATGATTTTTTTTGAACGTTATTGTAATAACGAATCCTTGTTATGTTTTTCTAGAATATATTTTTTTTTATATAAAAAGTGAAACATTATTAATAAAATAATAATATTTAAAAAATTTAATATGTTGTGATTTGATACACATTTTATAAATTAATTTAAATATTATAATAATGTTGCTGTACTTTTTTTAAATTAATTATATATAATTTAATAACCTTAATAAATATAAATTATATTTATAATATAATATTGAAGTAGAAGGAAAGAAATAATATTCATTTAATTTTATAAAATATAAATATTAAAAAATTAACGAATCAATAAAAAAAAATTAAAAACTAATTTTTAAAACATGATAAGTATCTGATTACCAAAAAAATTGCTAAAATTATATTTTATAGCTTAAATTTGTTTTTCTATTTTTTTTGAACATCTTCTTTTTTTTATTATATAAATCGAAAATAAATTTAATTTTTGTTGATATTATCTGTTTGTTTTTTTAAAAATAAAATTTCAAAAATTTGTAAAATTATTTGTGAATACGAGACAATACATTATATAAAAATAATCATTTGAACTCTTTTTAAATTTAATAAAAAGAATCCTTAAATCAATGCTTATAAATTTCGACTTAAACAGGTTTTTTTTAAAAAATATTGTTATTAATTAAACCTTTATAAATTATTATCTCAAATTATTTCATTAATTGTATAATAGGGAAACTTGCCTATGGATGATTTCAAAAAATTTCACCAGTTTCTAAAAGAGCGCATGCAATATGACCCTAAACTTGTTATGGGAAATGATATTAAAAAGTCAACAAAAAATCAAGGTAATATACATATTTTTTTATTTTTTTTTAAAAAAATTAATTTTATTTCGTATTTTTAAAAAATATTTTCTCTTTTGACGATTTTTATGCATTAATTTAATTATGTTTTAAAAATATTATAAGAATAATAAGCGAACATAAATAAAAAGTAGTTTGCCTTTAGAAAGAAATTTAGCGATATTTATTTTTCATAGATCATTATTTTTTATGTGAATCAGTTTTTAAAAGATATAAGTGTTAGTAGTGTTGTTAAACGTAACGTTTTGAGCCGATTTTTAAAAATGGCTAACTCAATATTTTAGCCAAAATATTGCCTGAGCCTAGAGATTTCCATATATGTCTATACCTTTCTTCCTTCTATGAGCAAAATCTTCAGACTTACATAATATTTTTCTGGATAAAATATTGAGTTAGCCGTTTTTAAAAATCGGCTCAAAACGAGCCTTTTAACAACACTAAGTTTTAGTATAATTGGTAACTAGAATCATATAAATTATTGACAATACATAAACTTGTTGAATATAACTATCGACTAAATTTTAATTGGAACATCTTTATTAATTTTTTAAAAAAAAGTAATTTCTTTTGCTTTAACGGAATTTTCTTTGAGCGTTTATAAGTTACACGTGTGAATATTTACGGTGTGTTATAGTTAGTTGGTTAACAATTTAAACTTATGAAAACGAGAAAGGATTACTATTACTAATTTAATTATATTTTACTTTTATTATTTATTAATTATATTATTATAAAATAATAAAATATAAGTTTTTTAAAAAAAATATTTTGAGCTACAAAACAGAAATAATATATTACATATATATATTTTTTTATTGATCTTCTTTAATGTCTAAAGCTTTCATTATAAATTATTATATATATTTTTTTTAACAAAAAAAAATTAATGTTATTTTTGGCTTGTTTCATTTTTAAAAAAATTTTTATTTTATATATATATATTTTTTAGCAGTTATAAAAATTTTTTTTAATAAAAAAAAGAATCATTTTAACCGATCACCATTAATAAATTTTAATTTATTTTTTAACCATTTATTTTTTGCCTTTCTTTCTCAAAATATTTTTATACGAGTACGCGACGCAGAGGTCAAAATTTTAAGGCTCGAATCGGTTCGTTGATAAAAAATCTTCGAACCCGGCCCGAGATTTTTAAAATCTTTTTCGGTTAAGCCATATATTTGAGAATTATTTTTTAAAAGGGAAAATATGAGCCGTAAATTTAAAACACTCCCATCATATGCTTTTCCAACTGTTAAATAGAATGTAAATTTCTCAAATAGACCTCTAGCCATTCAGGGTAGTGTTGGTATTTCATCTATCTTTAGCCACACTCCATAAAAAAAACTTGTGTCATATTCTAAGTTTAGGTTCAACTCGGAGGGTTCTAAGTTATTTTTTTAGGCTAAAAGTTGGAGCTTATTTAAAAATTAAGTGATTTATCAACACTACCTTCCGGGATGGGCTTGCAGATCTCTCATAATATATAATAATTTATAATCGTTAATTTTTAGAATTATATATAATGTATTAAGCCCATTTTAACATTACAATTTTGGGTCCTGATAAATGTTTATAATTTTACCAAACCCAAGCAATAATCATAAATTGACTTTAACATTATTTTTAGTTTGTTACTATTTTTTTTAAAAAAAAACAAAATATGTTAATTTAAACCTCATTTTAAAAATATTTGCTGCCATTTATAAAATATAAAGGTTTGATAGATATGTCTAAACTCAATTTTCCGCTTCCCAATTTATTCAACCATGATAATCCGTATCCATCGCCATTTAACTACGATATTTCGATGTTACCATATTTTGCCAGAGATCCCCAAAATCTGATGCCTATGATGCCCTCTCACCTTTATCCCCCGAATCAAGCCTATTTCGATAAAGAAATCAGGTCCACGCCCACTCATTCTGATCCATTGCATTATTCCAAAAATAACCAAAATAGCGCCCTTGACATTAAGAGAAATATTCAAGCTAACGTAAAGAGAGACAATTCGTTAAAAGATTCAAATGACCACGGTCTCGATTACTATCGGGAAGACACAGAGGGACGCCCAAAAGATAATAAGGACAGCGGTCCTTCTCTTCCTACTTCATTGGTCAAGTTAAAACAGAAAATTCGCGAAAAAGTGAAGCGCTCAAACAACGATAAAATCGACGCGGCTGCTTATAATAAGAGTAGCCATTTGAATCTTAATAACTGTATCCAACACGAGGCTATTCCACCTAAGGCGGAATATCTCCCCGTTAACATGGATAAACCGGAGAACTTAAACGATGCCTGGTGGTCACAATTTCAACGTGGTATGCGCTCACAATATCCGCCTCAATTTTCAAATCCTGCTCATCCTTACATGTTTCGTCCACCATTTTTTTCCGCTCCGCCATTATTCGATCCTACGATCGATCCCACATCGCATCAATTTCCCAATTATCCTTTTATGCCGCTTCCCTTTGAGGTGGATTTAAAAACAGATAAAGCTATCCCCAACAATAGTAGAGTCAAACAAAAAGCTAGTAAAAATATTCGCAAAAACAATTCACAGCCCGATCAAAATGATTATAACTTTCCAAATATGCAGAACCTGAAAGATCAAATGGCTTCCAATTTATTTCCCTTCGTGCGATCGGCTCCCCTTGGTACTAATAACGATTCTCCAATGTCCTTTCCCATGCTCCCCTTTATGGACTATTATAATCCGTTCTACAGCAATCTTCCTTATTTTCCCTTTCCCAATTTCGATGGGCCGGTTAATCATTCGAAAGTACCAAGATTTGATGGCAGAGAGATGAGTCCTGAAGCCTACAAAACGCCGTCTAAAAATTTTAAACCCCCTACGGAAAACTGTTCCCCTGAACAAAAAATTCCAGTTGCGAATAATGGCCTACCAGTTTTAAAAAAGCGCAAATATACGAGCAGACAAACTCAAAATTTGAACTTGAACAAATCTAACACGAATAATTCTCCTACTGATGCATTACGTGAAAATGCTACCATTCCCACTTTAGATAAACCTAAAGAGGAGATCTCTTGCGATGCTAAACGTGGTCGTTTTCATTGCATCGATAACATTTTGGGCAAAACAGCTATAAACAATAAAAGTTTTGATTCCGAGAAACAAGAAATTAAAGAAAAGGATCCAATGAACGACGATGCCCTTACAACTTCATCTTCGGCTTCAAAATCAAAATTTAACCAAGAATCGGATTTAACTAAGTTCGAGTCCAACGCGCCTACACTTCCATTCCCTTTATTTTCACCCGATATGGCAAAAGATTTCCTGGCCAAATACGTATCCCAAACTTTGGCCTTCTCCACCAATGAGTCATTATTTCGCGATATGTCAAACATGTCCGCTCTCTCGAGGGCATCTTTCCCCGGTCCTGATAAATCTCCATCGCTCAATAGCAAGGATATCATTAGCGAAAACTCGATGGCTAGTGGAGTTAACAACGAAATCAACAATAATGTTAGTGATTCTACGTCAACCCCTCTGTCAAAGAACAATTTGGAAAAATCTCTTAATCCCGAAGATATTATTATCAAAGATAAAATAATCTTGAATGATAGCGGGGATAACTTTAATACCCACCCAGTCGCAACTCCAGGTAAATTATTATAGATTTCTTCTTATGCATTATTTATGCGTTGTTTTTTCATAAAAACAATATTATTAACCTAATACTTAAAATTATATCAGTTAAAAAGGCCCGTGGTAGACCTCCCGGGGCATGTAACAAGAATCCCAAAAGGGCAAAGTACAAAAATGCAAATAGTAATGTCCCAATCAGCGAACCTAGTAAATTACCCTTTGCCTCGATCAAACCAAAAAGCGCAAATGATGTCCTTGATAACCGACCCCTTAATGTTAATCAACTTATTAACGATGTTCAAAACCAAATTGACTATTCTATCGCTGATCCGGATTTTAAGGTTTTTTTTCTCATGTTAATGTTTACATGCACAAACCAATTAATCTCTTTTATTAGGACACAATACGTGTCTTAGAGCTTAGTTCAATCTTGGACGATCAAAGATTTCCAGCTAGGATAGGACTTAGTCAGATTAGTATAGCTGAGTAATTACTAGGGAAAAACTATCATCTCAATCGCAATTTTTTTTTTTTGAATAAAATCGAAATAATATAAACTTAGACAGGATTTAGCAGTATTTCATCTAAAACTAGTAATATCTAGATCGGACGAAAAATTGTTCAACAAAAAGGGTCAGTAATGGGATTGGAAAAAGATTACCTAAAACTTATATATTATTTTTTTAGTCGTTGTAGTCACTACTGACTATTAACCCTTTAATTATATTGATCAATTATAATTACTATAATTATTATTTTTGAATAATTTAACTTTCCCTATTGATTTTAGTAATTTTTTGATGTATCCCCCTCCCCCACATGTCTTCTTATCTGGACATTATTTAAATGTAAACGAATTATATAATAGAAACAAAATAATGAGACATAAATTTTATAAAAAAAATTATATTAAATTAAAATTATTTTTTTATATGTAAGATAAGGTATTATTATTATTTTAATTTCTCGATTTTATCATTTTAATATTTTTGTTTTTATCAATATATATTAAGAATGTAAAAGAAAGTGATGAGCAGAATTTTCTAAAGTTTTTGCCTTTTATGGTTCCGCCATTTCCCCCTACTTTTCTAATGCCAAATTTGAACGAGGAAGACCAAAAAAGTTATTAATATATATATTATTTTTAAAAAACCATTTTTTTTTGTTTTTCCGATATTTTTTTTTAAAAATATATATACTTTTATATTCTAATAATATATTATTTTATATCTATAATAATATCGTAATAAAAAAAATTACAAAAAAATTTTTTTTACTTTATATTTATTACTCTATTCGACTTAATTTATTCTTATTTCTATGTATTTTAAATTTATCTATACTTTTATCTTCAAAATAGGCTATATTATCAACAATATAACGAATATATAATATAATTAATAATTTGTTTATTCTCAAATAAAAAAAATAATAATGCGAGAACTTCTTTTTTTTTGAAACTTCAAACTTAAGGTATGATTGGCATGAATTCCCAATTATTTCCTCCCATTCCTCCTCCATTTTTATTACCCTTTTTGATGCAAGAGCAAATGAAGAGGGGTGGAAATTTGGACGATTTTCAAAAACAATTTATTAACGAGGGCAAAATTGCGGCCTCCAATGAAATCAACAATTTTATGACTTCTAGGAATGGTTATTTCAATAATAACGATGAAAACCTTGCTGATATAATTAACAAATTACCGATGGATATCCACGATACTATCGCACGCGATACAGAAAATGAGGCATTATCTTTAACTGTCAAACGTAAAAATTTAACTCCGACGGAAGGCTCGAAGATTAGTAAGATTTGAATCATGCTTTTTCTTCTTTTTTTAAAGAATAGTTAATCGAATTGATTTTTAATATATTATTTTTATATGCTCCTATTAGATGAAGATTTGCACGTTTCCGAATCATCGAGTAATAAAAACGACCAAAACAGATCTTTTAATTTCGTGGAGGAAGTCCTTAATAATCCTGAGTCTAAAAAAATGGACTATTCATCCAATGCAAATACCCACGCACTTTCCACCGAAAGCAATGGTGATTAAACTTTAAAAATATAAAAATATATTAATTTATAAAATTAACACGATATTTTAAAACAGTTCCTCCCAAAAAAAGGCGCAAACGACGAGTTTGCAAAAACGTCCCTTATAATATAGATCTTATAAAATCACTTAACTCCGAACATAACCATCTGCCTGAATCCACTTTGACTTCCAGTCCCAAATTGTTTCCTTCCTTGTCCCAACCGCATCAATTACCCGGCACTTTAACGGAAATGTCCCAAATACCATTACATAAAAATCGTGGCGACTCATCTGTCTTTTATGTGCCTCTTGACCCGTATTTCGGTGGCGGCTTCAAGCGCAAAACACTGATAAAAGCTGTAAAATTTAGAAGACTTTTAGGGTCTCTCCCGATTTTTGCTATACACCCCAACGACGCTTGTTTAACGGATAAAACCCGAAGCCTCAAAGCTATGATAAAAGGGGAAGTTGTATATGTGAGCCCCTGCGGAAAACGACTCAGATCTTACCAAGATGTGGATAGGTACATGGATAGACTGATAGCCAAAGCCGGCAAGGAATGTCCCGATAACGTTGCCATCGAAAATGAAAACAATAAGGTGATCATAGATAGGGAAGCAAAGGATAGCAACTGGGTGCGTGCCCTTAATTCCAGGCTTCATTTCAGTTTTAGTTCGAAAATATTGGTTGGAACCTTTTACCGTTACGACGATATGAATCCTCACGTAATTATTTTATATTTATTTCGTTTTCTTTTTTTAAAAAAAAATTAATTATTTATATTTTTATTCTTCTTTTTATAGAAACTGGTGAGTTACAATGAAAAACAGGTTAAAGAAATGCTTGGAGAACTTTTGCAGAGTTATAATGATAATAACGGCAAGGACAAAAAGGGCATGCTGACCACCGAAATCGATTTAAATAATCCCGAATTTGTCGGAAAATTTAGATTCCAAGATACGAACCAATTAGAAGAACGCCACAAGGAGGCTCTGGAAATAGGTGCCGACCATAAGTTTTTTAAGGATTTCAAAAAAAGGAAATTGCGGGATAACAATACAGACCCATTAAAATCGTCTGGCAACCTTAATCTGGGTGAGATGGAATGTTCTATATCTCCTGAATTTTTCACCGGAAAACGTAGTAGAACTAAATATTCTCCACAATGCCTCTTCGATGTTAACAATACCGCTAACTTTACCGCGCTCAATGATGAAAGCGTAGACGACAAAAAAGGTAGTTCTTGGGTGAACGATTCTAAAATCAGCGATATACATCATGTAAACAATAATCAAAAATTCATTTCAGAATATATCTATTAACATAAATATGAAGCTATAAATCTGATATTATTTATTTTATTTTGCTTACCTATATAGAAAATTATCACGACACCTTCAACGCAATCTGAGAAAACAAAACTGCTATCACCTGAGCATCATAATTTAATCAAAAATGAGACGAGAAAATATAGCGAGAATGGGAAAGATGTATATGATGTGAGCAATATCAAGAACGAAACAGAAGACAATAACAGCTTGAATATTAGCCCCGTCAAGTCTTGGAGGAATTCCTCATTCAAGGATGAAAAATACCACCTGGATATGGTATTTTTGACAGTAAACCGATTTAAAAATTAAAAATATATTTTTATATAGAATTCCTTGAGTACAAAGTCTATCAATTCCGAACCATACAAGGAAGAATCTGAAGAATTAGGGCGGCACAACATTTGTTCTAATCAATCGACTATAATGAAAAATGATTATAGAGAAATGAAGATGTTTAAAAAGAGGGTCGAGTTGATTATAGCTAAGGAGTTCAATAAACCAAGAGATGATTTGGAGATAATTCACAATTCAAAAGTATACAATCTACTCTTATGTCTTATCATTTAGAAAACTTTTACATCGTATAAGTATATTCGAAATGTTGTAATAAAAAATTATAATATAATTTCTTATAATAAATAAAAGCCCTTGCCAGACTTCCCGCCAGTACCCGATATCAAATTAAGATCGAACACCTTTTCTCAGTTAATCATGGTGGTTGAATTCATACACAATTTTCACGACGTTTTGAAAATAGGTATCTTAAAATTTGAAATAATTATTTTAGATTGAATAATAAAGTTATACTAATTTTATATATTTTTTTTAGTAATGCTTTTAAATTTCATCCTGTGTACTAAATTTTTTTTAGATATATCCAGTGATAAATACAGTTTATACTCCATGCAATCTTCATTGTTCACTTCGGAAGTTGACGAGGAATGCGATCAAAGTTATATCGACATAGTTTTAATACTGACGAGAAAGTTGTACCAGAACAACGAACTCTTGCCATCGGTTTCTTTTTCCGATTTAGCAGGTTCTCACGATAACGATGGCTACCCGAGGAGTGGTATCGAAGAAGAGTCAAAACAAAACAAGCCCACTGGCAATAAATTTTTCAATGAGATTGATATTAATTACATTAATCAAGTAAAATTAAAGCGTGATGTGGTGATATTAAATATTTTTATATTTTTTTTTAAAATCATAGAATCTCACCATACTAGGAAGATCCTTCAAAGAAACGGAATTTGATCGAAGTACTGTTTCGGAGTTTGTCAGATTTTATATTGACATATATTGTAAATACTTTGGTTTAACGGAAGAAGGAAAAGAGGTACGCATCACATTAAAATATTTTGAAACTTAAATTTTTTTTATTGAATATATTTGATAGGTGTCAGAACAACTCACGTCAATCACACTTTTATCCTTAAGTACTTCTCATAAAGTATGGGTACTAACATTTTTATGCGATCGGTTATTGGATAGTCCCGATATAATGTATAAAATCGATCAAGAATTAGATAAAATGGCCGTAATTAGAAAAGATAAGTGGCTGAACGAAGGACAGATTAGAAGGTAAATTAACTTATTTTTTAATTAAATCTTAAAAAAATGATTGATACCTATATTTTGAATATATTGATTTATTTATAGGATGAAGCTTATTGATGGCCATTTTGGAAATCCTATAGACGATGAAGCGATAAATGAAACAAATGCTTCGAAAAATGACCAAGAAATATTAAACTTTTCGGAAATTCAAAATGAAGATATTATATATAGTGAGAGCAAACTCGATGATGCACCTATCATAACTAAAGAACCAATTTCCGTGATCAAAGATGAAACTCTCCCTGTAACAAATGATTCCAAACAAGATGACATTATACCGCCTTTAGTTACTATGGATGAAACTGCTCCGGAAACTGACGATAAAATGATTGAGGGGGAATCTGCCGCCGAAAAAGGACCTATAAATAACATGGACAACTTATACCAGCTTCAAACTGAATATCGTTGCAAATTATTTAAAATAAATTCCCATATCAGGAGCTCGTGTGTGGGTCAAGACAGATTCAAAAGGAGATATTGGGTATAGCACAAATTATAATTCTATAGTTTTATTGTAAAGTATTAGCTTTCTGGTTTTCTAGTCTATTTTAAAAACCCAGTGATTTTTTAAATACCATTTTTTTTGTTGAAAATATTAAAATTCTTTGGAATATACTTGTGTGACAATATTTTGTGTATTTTAAAGAGTAACTTTAAGTTTTATTACTTTTTATAAATCAATATGTTATAATATTTTCATTTACATAACCGGGGACTTGAACCGTTATCTATCAAAGTTTCATCTCGATAAAAAAGATTATTTAGGGTTTTAAAGATTTTTGTAATTTTTATTTCAATTTTTTTTGATATAAAAAAAAATTTATCGACACCAAACTTGAATATATTATTTGATATGAGTGTGAAGATTAGAAATAGATAATTAGAAGAAGGCCATTCGGGCTAAAGCCTTAGGACCTTATAATTAATAAAAGCTTTCATTCATGGAGTAATGATACATGACGTTAGTCCACTTGCTACACAACGACCAAAATTTATTAAAATATAATAACGCTATATCTACGGAATCAAGTGGTCAAGTTCGACCTACTATATATCATTCCCCAAGGACGGAACTAGTAGCTTTAGAAAAAACATGACCCTTGCTAGATTCTCAGATTTATCGGATTGTGATACATGCAATGAACCTACTATGCCACAGACGCTACCTAAAAACAACAATTTTTTTTGTATATAAGGATAAAATTATAACGCTATCTCATATTTTAATAAAACACATAAAAAAATCAATAACGTTCAACGCTCTACATCATTTCTCTTCAATTTGATATATATTTGTTAAATATAAAATTAAAATGCCAAAAAAGGAAATAAAAAAGGGAAAATAATATCAATTTAAGATTTAAATCTTACATATCTTCTCAAATGTTAAAAAAAAACTAATCACTTAAAAGAAAATTAAATAAATGGAAGAGAAGAAGAGTGTTTAATATAATAACTCCCCAGGTGAAGTTTTAATGACAAATTATATCGTCTTAAATTTTTAATTGTATGCATAACATGATTTGTTCTAAAAGTTAAGGTTCATTCCTGTATAACGGTTTTGTTGCCTCCGCATAACTAAAATATACCAAAAATGTATCTGTTTAAAATTAAAATTCTAGATTTTGCCGTATTTGGGAGCCTTCTTGGTTGAAGGCATAGATACAAAAACAGAAGGTGAACTTGAGGTGCCAAATAAGACTGGTTTTGAATGTTTAATGAATATTGGTGGAGATGCAATATCAACTCTGGAAGACAGAAACGCTTTTTATAAAACCAATCAATATAACATGTTAAATTTTAACATTTTACATAAAGGATCTCGCGATAATTCCGAGATGCCTTCTGATAACCTTTTCAAAAATTGTGAGAATTTTATGAATCATTCGGTGATTGAAATTGATAAGAGCAACGAAGATAGTGAGAAAAATGTTTTAAAATCAATCAATATTGATAATGATAGTATAATTAGTAATCCAAACTCTCTCTCTGATAATCAAATTAAAGACATCAATATTACCTCCAAGACTGCTTATCCTACCTTAAATGATGAGCCAAATGTTAAATTATTATGTGATACCAATCCAATAAACAATACTAATAATAATAAAAATTGCGGCGAACCAATCAAAGATGACTCTCCCAGTACCGAGAAAATTATTTTAAAAAATACACAAAATATTGATGCCCCTAAAATTATTGGAAATAATGAATCCGATAGAAGTTATAAATTTTGTCCTGAAAACAAATTTAATCGTAATGCAAATGCGATCGCCAACATATCCAATAACAATTTTCTAAATAATAACCATAACAGCAATAATCAAAACGCGATAATGATGCTCACCATGCTCATTCCCCTTCTCAATAATCGTTCCACTTTGATCGAGTTGATCAAATCAAACCAGGAAATTCTCAATAAAGTTGGCATAAAACTAGACGATTTGGATATCATAGACACCAACGCTCTTCAGAATTCGAATATAAACCCGCCTTTAGATAGCACTAAAGATACCATCAATTTTAACGATCACGTTTCACCTTCTCAACAGACAGTTGTAGATGACACAACGACTATGATCAACAATCAAAGCTTTGACACATTTAAAAATGTTTTAGACAGTTTGGCACCGGATTCAAACGTTGGCATAATTTCCGGTCACGAAGATACTAGATCGAAGATGACGAATCACGCCAACACTTCTCTTAATTTTCAAGGGCTCAATAGCGAACTCTCGAAAGCTATTCAAAAATCAAATTTAATTAATAAACCTCTCCAAGAATCAAATACTATTGGTCTTCTACCCACTTTACCTATCAATTCTGTTCAAAATCCACTTCCACTTAATTCGCCGCAATTTGACAACCCGAATTTAGTTAGCTTTAAGAAATTCTTGACGATGTTTAATCACTCCAAAAACCATAACATCACAACCTCTAATGGCTGCGTTGAATGCGATAATTATAATATGTTACTTAACAATTGCAACCAAAATCTGGCAATAGGCATAAGTGATCAAGGCAATTTAAATTCTGATGTTATTGTACATAAATCTAAGGACGATTCTTCGAATAACATTATATCAGGGGAATGTGCGGATGTCAAGAATGTTAATGAGCCCGCTTTACCAATTCAAACACTAGACCCTAAAAGTTAGTTATCCATATATTTTATTTTAAAACACAAGCTGTAAAATTGTTATTTTTTAATTCAAATAAATGATTCTCTATTCAAATCATTTTTGAAATATATAAATAAATAATAGATTGGAAAAGTTATACCAATAAATGGTGGTTCATTGATAATCCCGACCAACTTGATTCGCTTATCAGAAATTTAAACGTGAGAGGTATTCGAGAAAAGACATTGTACAAGAACTTGCACAAATTAATGGAACTCACTCAATTGGTTTGCTCACCAGAGAGCACTAATCAAAGTATAAAACAAATTTCATTAACAAATTCCTTATTCATTACATTTTAAACCTTAATAGATATAACTGTTATGAAAATTTTATTTAGTTTTTTTTTAAATATCTACCTAAAAATATTTTTTATAGTCAAAACACATTTGCTAAGTTTTCAAGAATCCGCGAAAGAAAAAGAAGATTCTATTACAGATATAGGAAATGATTCTAAAGTTGAAAATGAGACGAAGACTACTGTAAAATGTGATGTTGAAGCCTTGAAAGCCGTGGAGAGCTTAGAGAGCAGGGTGAGCGCTTCAAATATGCAATCCAAGGTAAAAGCAATTTAAATATCCTAAAATTTGACTTGAAAAATTATTGTAGGGATTTTTTAAAATATTTATTTAATAACTTTAATACTTTTTTGAAAAATAAAAAAAGTTTTGGAAACCAAATACTTCCTTAAGCTACGACCCTTCCGTAACTTGGGTAAAATCTTTGCGGGACCTCCCCAAAGCTATAGCTTTATCGGAACAATCAACTAAAATAGCTCGCAATACTATAGATCCTCGAGATATTGAGAAAATAAATAACGACATCGTTATTTCTGATAGCAATAATGGTGACGTTTCTACTGTTAATAATAATGATAAAGAAAATGTTAATCTCGATATTTCAAACGATCACACTGTAAATCACGAAAATTTTGCCATTTTGCCTCTTACATCCAAGAATGATACTGTATATCATGAAGATGAGCAAATTGGAAAAAGAGTTTTATGCCCTTTAAAATGCGCTATTGAAAGATTAGAAAGCTTAGAAAAGGGGATTGAAAGACGGTACCTAAAATCTCCACTTAATAAAAAGTATTTTTTTTAAAAATAAATTATTATATTTATTACTTATATTATTCAAAATAGAATGTGGATTTTAGACGCCATTTTTTGTCAAATTTAAAATTTAACTCTCTAATAGTAATAAGGACCGATTAAATGTCAGCGCGGCCCTCAAATGGTACAACGAGCACGGAAATAAGAGCAACAAAATTGAGGCTACGGAAGCGATTAAAATTCAAACCGACGCCGATATACAATCAAAATTTTCTAATAGCGCGTTAACTAACCTGAAGAATAATGTTAACACCTCCGTAAACGCTCAAATTTTAATGGAGGAGACCCGCCTGAACGATGCTCCAATACATACGAAAAATGCTCAAATATCTGCGTCAAGTAATGAACCAATAGTCAATCCAATCTCAGAACCATTTATACACCCTCCGCTTGTCAAATGGCGAAACGCTTTGGCCAATGTTACCAACGCTTCTCAATTGCATTTGTGCCTTAAGATTTTAAAAAATTCTATATCTTGGGAAAAATCTATTATGAAAGTGGTAAATAATAAAAAGATTTTTTTTTCCTATCTTTTTTTGATACTTTTATTTTATTTATATATGAACATAAATAGATAAAACAATGAATAATGAAATTATATAATGTTTAAATTATAGTTTTGTCAATTCTGTTTGATGGGTTATGACGAAGATAAGCTTTTATTATGTGATGGATGTGACAGAGGATATCACACATATTGTTTCAAAGTATTTAAAAATATATTTACTGATTTAAAATATCTTCCATTTTTAGCCCAAAATGGAGATAATACCCAAAGGTGATTGGTTTTGCTATCAATGCATTTCTAAGGTATAACTAACATTTTTTTTCTAAAATTCTTAAAATAATCGTTATTCTTTATACATAAAAAAATTAGGCAATTAACCAAACACTTTGTTGTATATGCGGCAAAAAACACAAAAAATTATTAAAATGTGATAAATGTAGTAGAAACTACCACCCATACTGCTTTGAACCCCCTATAACCAAGTTATAAATTTATTTTAATAATTATGTTATCACTCATTGTAAATAAAATATCGTTTGGTTTTCTAATTTGTAATTAAATAATTATGAATTTACTTATGAAATAATTTTAGTTAATTAATTAAAGTAAAGCTGTATTTTATCACACTCTATAATAAAGGTTTATATTATAAGCACTTACCGATCATCCATATTTTATGTAGAATATCGAAATTGCGATGGAAATGTCCTGTATGCGTTAAACAAACGAGAACCAATCCTTCTAGAGCTGTGGAAATAAAAATTAAGTCTAATTTTTCCGCCAGGAAACGCGAACGCGGAAGACCTTCTAAGATGGCGGCTCATTCCGAGAAAATTGTGACCGTCATTAAGAAAAAACGTGGGCGGAAACCTAAAAATTATGACGAATTATTACGCGAAACCAAAAAAGACGAGAAAAGCGAGGAGGAAGACGCAGAGCAGACGATCGATAATGATTCGATGGAGAAAATTGATGAAAACGAGAGATTAATCGACGAAGGAGATTCAAAAAGCAACGATAATTATTCTGAAATATTTAAGTGAGTTAAGATCGCTATATAATTTTTTTTTATAAATAGTAATAAATATATAGCTTCTAATTATAATTTTTTAAAAACTACATTAAAATTAGAAACATCCTCGATTCAATGAAAAGTGATGAAAATAGTTGGCCATTTTTACAACCCGTTGATACCAAATCATTTCCTCAATACAAAAAATGTGTTAAGCATCCAATGGATTTTTCTACTATCGAGGAAAACATCAAACAAAATTTGTAAATTTTATTGTTTTCTAAAAAAAATATGTAACTTAATTTAGTTCTTAATGATGGAATTTAAATTTCTTATTTTAAATTATATATATCAACTTATATAACTTTTGAATTCCTAGATACAACAATAAAACCGAATTCGAATCAGATGCTAACCTAATTTTTTCAAATTGTCGACTCTTCAACGAAGAAGATTCCACCATAGGGAAAGCTTGCAAAAATATGAATCAACTTTTTACCTCGCTCATGCTAAAGACTTTTAAAGAAAAGGATTAATAATTAATTATGCAAAATGTAGTCCTTAATATTTTTTGAGAAAACGCTGTTTAAAAACAAATATTAAATCTAATTTGATTCCAATACAAAAGTTGAATTTTTGTATTGTTTTTGTGCAATTTGTTTGATTAAAGAAGAATACCATCTTAATAAATTCTATTCAATTTTTATTTATTTATTAAAACATTTTTTTTAATGATTATTGATTGAACCTTGTATAAAATATTAAATAATTATTTACTAATAATATTTAAAAACATTTTTTTGATATTACGATGTTAATATTATCAAAGTATTGTATACACACTTTTAAAGTACCTTATATATATATATAAATAAAGTTAAATTTTAATATAATATATAATATTTTTTTCTATTCAAATTTTATCTAATAAACAGATATTCGAAAAGCTATTATATATAATACTGTAGAAGCTTATCAAACCATACTATTTTTTGATACCGGTTTACCCATCCTTTAAGATGATTAATGAAAAGAAAAAGATATACAATGTACTCGTTCTCGATGAGTGCAATAGGCCTACAAGAATCGAATCGAATAATTGCGCTATTCGTATTCGTACGAATAATAAATCATTATTCGATTCGAAAATTTTTATAAAGCTTATAAAAAATATATAATTTTTTGCATAAAAAATATATAATTTTTTGCAAAAAAATTATAAACAGATATAATGTTTTAAGATGACATTTTTAAGGATTCTCTCAACAACAATTTACAGAAAATAAACGAAATAAAACCAAATGATTTCATATAACGTTATCCAAACAAATTGGCAAAAAACGTCCGATTTATAGATTAGAATTGCTTAAAAAATATTTAAATTATTTCTTCAATTTAATATACAAATTTTATTAAAATATTCTGAAAATATACAATAATTTCATTTTATAAACATCAAAATATAATACACAAAAAATATAATTATAGTATATCTGAATTTGTTAATAACCAATTTTTTAAACATAACGTCTTTCTTATAGTATCCTCTTTCAGAGACATCATATTCTTAAGTTCCTGGCAGTTAAATAACTAAATTTTGACTAGTTCTTATTCTTTGATTAGGAAAATTCTTTTCCCATTTATTAACCTTATTTTTTATCAAATTTTAAAGTAAATCATCTAATTCAGATAGTGTATCATAATCACTATCATAAAATCTTCATCACTATTAATTACATTGCCATAATCACTAACAATAATATTTTGAAGTTTTAATTGCAGTGGCTTAGCCAGGAATCTTAACACCAAAAATGATTAAATAAAGAGAAAGTATCAAAATAAAATAATTATATTTTTGTTTACTTTGGGTTTGGGGCTTTTCCTTTTCTTCCATTAAAATTTGACAGCAATTAATATAAGTTATGGATTTGATAAAGATAATAGAAAATAAAATGATATCCACTAGGAATATTTAATTACTTCTTTTTTTATTATACTTACAACAATTTACAAATACAAATAAAATATTTGCGAAAAATTACGAATATTTATATATAAATAATTTCGAATAATAGGATTCATTATTCATATTCGATTCGAAAATTGTGCTATTCGTATTCGTAAAATACAAATCGAATCGAATTTCGAATAACAAATAATTTGTTTTAGGCCTAGAGTGCAATATTTAATTTAACTATCCCTAATATTATAAATAGTTATTTATTTTCGGTTTCAAATATATTTATTTCAGGTTAGACCTTGTATTTATAAAACTCCAGGCTGGCAAACTAGTAAAAAAAGGAAACGTTAGGATAAAAATTTGGAAGGGCCTTAGAATTTTTCCAATTGCAGATCTATAATGCAAATATAGTTTTTAAACTTTAAATATTTAATTAAATACTCTTTTTTTTATCAATACCCCTAATCTTAGTGTATGCCCATGTTTTGGTGAGAGCAAACATGGATTTTCTATAGAGAATTCAGAACAACTCTAAAAGTTCCAACGTTTGGGCCTTTTAAAAAAATAATCAGAATAGGCTCGGGCTTAAACAATTTATAAAATGGACAAGATGTATGTTTTGAAATAAGTACCTTTATCTTAGATTCAAGTATTTGCTGTATACTCCTTAAATCTTAATTTATATTAACTTCCTTTTTTTAATAAATTTTATAATATATTTCCCTTATTAGATAAGGAATGGGATAAGAAGATTAATAAGGTTTTTTAATATCTAAATAGGTCATGCCCTTTGAACTTTTTATGAATATGGGTGACCGAGGCACGTGGAACCATTTCAGTTTAAACTTATAAATAATTAACAAAAGTGCAACTTAAGTCTTTTCTTTGGTATAAGCTTGACTTATGATTAATTAAATAAGCATTTGACATTTTAACCAAAATTTGAATATTATCCAAAAAAAGTTTGGTCTTTAAATTATTAAATCAATATTAATTTAATCTGCCAATCATATTTTAAGAAATCAGCTAGATTTATAATAAAAAATAATAGATAAACATTAACTATAATTAAGATCTGAATATTTGAAAGAGTTCTATTTAAATAAATAAATTTATGTGCATGTCTCTTTATTCATAAAATATGCTATTTTATTCTTGAAAATAGTCGTGCTTGGTGCCCCACGTGACCCTTTGAAATATTAATCGATACTTTTATTTTTAACATATACAGATTTTTTATAAAGGTTTTTTTATTTACAAAATTTAGTCCCGTGTACACTGGTCTCTTTACTTTTCAATATAATACACTACAGAATTTTAAAAATATTAATTTTATTATTGAAAGATTTTAAAAAATTGAATTTCTACAAAATTGTATTAAAAATATTGAAAATACAAAATGTGGTATATTAAAATAAAATATTAAAAGAATTTAAAATGTGTTTGCTTCAATCTTTTCCTTTCGTTAAAAAACCATACTCTTCGATAATTTTGTTTATAACAACTTTGTATCCATCCCATGTTTCTTGACCAACCGGCAAAATCTCATTCACTGGTAATAAAAATCCGTACTCACCTCTATCTCTTAATTCGAGTCCATAACTGTATTTCACCTTCAGGTTGTCGTATGCCCAATCTAGAGAACTTCCCGATGCAAAATCTATTAAAATTTAAAAGGCGTAATTTATTGGACATACCTAAATTGGTCTAATTAATTTGGGATGTGCGTGCCTATCTCTATTATCAATATTGTTTTTACATTGTTATATTAATTAAGTAAGGGCTAATCCCTCTTTTAAAATGATTTTTCAAATAAAAAATGGGAAACAATTACAAGTACGCAATACAGATAACAACACAATTGCTTTATAAAAGGGTGTTGTAGAAAGAAATAAATAGCCATAAATGGGAGATAATTGGGGAAAAATTAGATATAAATATTAAAAATTTTAACGGACTGGGGCTAACTTTTCATAAAATTTTGGGTCGGGTTTTGCAGATCACTAGTTTAAATTCACATTGAGGAGAAGTTACGACTTCCGTAAGAATAATTATTATATTAAATAAACGTCTTTGAGTTAGGAAATCAAATGTTATTGGTATTTAGAGATGGGGGAATGGTTTAAAGATGTATTAGATAAAAGCAAGCCTGGCAAACGGAGAGAGAAATAAAATTTATAGATTGAATGAAGTTCGTTTACTACAAAATAAAAGATGAAAGGAAATTATTATAATCTGTAAGTAAAACAAGGAATGAGGAAGATAAAAAGGATTAGGACAAGCTTAGTAAATAAAAATAAGCTTGGGAAAAGTTAAAAAAAAATAGAGATTAAATAAGTGATAATATTTGGGTAGCAGGTATAAGAAATGCTGGACAGTTAGACCCTGAATGTGATCGTAAACGAAAAAATATGCTTGAAATATGATGTAGCGAATTGAAACAATTAAAAAAGGCATTGATCAATGATAAATAAAATAACGAGAAATTGTCCATGTGAAAGGATGAATCAATGTAAAGTAATACAAGATTACATACCATTCCAATAGAAGCACTCAAATCTATAAGAATAAACCTATATGGACCATAATTTTTTTGGCCTACCGTATTAAAGTATATTCATTGAAATGTACCGGTCAAGATAATAATGTTTGATTACATTTTATATAAACTCCCTTATAAAATTAATTCATGATAATAGTTTAAAAGGATGAAAGAAAATTTAAACAAGACCGGTTTAATTCATAATTTATTTATTCTATTTAAATTAACATTTAAAATATTGGAAATCGAATTTTAAATTTCGATTATATTTCCCCAAAAATGAATAATATTATTAAATTGTTTTAACCTTATTTATTTCCGTAAAAATTTGTTTTCGCTATTATAACTAATTAAAGTTTCATTTATAATTTATTTACATAGCAGATCTGTTATGGATCCCACTTGATATTTCGTTCCGTGAACTGATTCAAGGGCCAACGAGGCGTTTAATCCTACTGCATACTAATTTTTTTATATATATTAATTCACTGTAATATTGATGATAAAGCAATTGGTTTATAACTAAAATTGGAAAATTTTACACTGAAAATCTAAAAAATTAAAAATGAATTCTTATTTATCACTTATATATATAGAATTGAAAATGTGAATGTTTTTTTAAAAAAAATGCATGAACTTTAATATCAAATATTTTTTTTAATATCTGATGTTTTATTATAAAATTTATTTAATTATTACTATAAAATATTGAATTAATAAAATATATAATCAAATTTGCTTCCATTCATTTATTTTTGGTCATATCATATGATTAAGGAAAGTTCCAAAAAAAAGATTTTTTTTTGAGCAGCTTTAGTAAATATATCATAACTTTATTTATAAATAAATGTAAATCTAGAAATTTTGTATTTATTATCTCTAATATTTTTACAATAAATATATAAAATTTTAGTTCTTAAATTTTATTAATTCGGGTTTGAACAGGAGTGCCCCCCCCCCCACCTCATTCTCTCCTAACATTCATAACAATTTTAGAGTATATTTGACAGATCATTAGACATTTGACTTATCAAATCAAACCATTGAAAAGTGAAGTGACAATTAAGTGACACCATTTAGTGGCTTAATGTTTATATTGCTTATTTAATAGTGAGAATGACTAACGATATTTATACATACCAATTCATCGTAGTCTTTCGGATGTTGAGATCCATGGCCATAAGGTAAAAGCCATAATTGAGAATACGAATGTATGCTCATGAAAGAAAATATGGAATCTCTATGTGATATCAAAAAATTCTTGACGTTTTCATTCTCGATTTCCGAAAATTTTGTTTCTCCTTGATAAACTTGGGAACACGGATTATCGCTAGCACCCGTTGCTTATGATCACAAATGAGATAAAATTTCAAAATTATATGTATTTGGGTTTAAAAAATATCTCCTTACTAATTATTTTTTTATTCAAAGGCAATCAAAATTAGGACTAATTGAACATCTAAAGAATATTAATTAATACCTTGAATATCTATTTTAGCAAATATTTATAAAAGAAAAAATTACCTCCCCAACTTGAATGACCCCAATTCCTATTGGCATCGGCTCCTATACAGGTTGAACGTTTGTTAGTAGATCTGGTTTTTCTCCACAGTCTTTCCTGACAAATAAGTAAATAAAACATAGATTCCAATTTTTTGTATAAAATGCATATAGGTTTTTATTAGGTTTAAATATTTACCGCAGTGTGAGTATATTCATATCCGTCAGGATTATGGATTGGCAAGATATAAAAATCAAGTTTATCTAGATATTCATTGCTTAAATCGTGTAACAGAGTATCGTTAGACCATCTCTTAGGTTCTACCAACTAATATTGTTTGTTTTCGTTTTTGTATTTTTAGAAATATATTTAATGTTTAAAATGGCTAAAAAAATTCTTATGATCATTAAATTTACTAAATTAAAAATACATCCTAATAAGCTATATATTTTATCATAAAAATATTTACATTATTATATTCGTGTATTATATAAAACTAATTATATAACAGTGTTCATGGATGAATGAAATTTTAACTTGTGACAAAAAATACAGGATTGTGGTGACAGTTATCCATTCCCTAGCATGTATACCAGCATCTATCCATATGGCCGGTTTGAAAGATTTGGTTTTCTTGCCCACCTTAAAAGAAGACAATTTATAAGTGAATATTTTTCTACCATATTTTAGCCATCAACCACCACAAAATTATTTATACATGACATTGTATGGCTTAATTTTTGGATTCTCTTTTTACATTACAGTAATATGAAATGTATTCTAGAGTAAATAGAAAAAGTTTAACCTATAATGGGGAAAAAACGTCTTAACAATATTAAAATTTAATTTATTTTAAGACCGGCAAAATCATTTTTTTCCGCTGGGGTCGGCCCAGAGCTCATTGCTGCCCAAATTTTCAAAAAAAAAGAAAGCTAATAGGAATCGGCAATAATTTTATGCTGTTTATTTATTTTGTTCTATTTATTACAAAATATGAAAATGAAAAATATTATCTCCACTTAATTTTATTTTTTAAAAATCTCTCATTCTTTTAAAATTCAATTTATGATTGTGACAATCAATTAGGCAAGGAAGGAAGCTCTTGGAAGGAAATACAACTTTAATGTTTTCCGGTCAGCAGGACATGTCTATATTTTGTTGATGATTTGAGGCTTGTTGGGAATCTAAATGGCAGTCGATTTTTAAATATTAGCGATTTTGGAGCATAAATCTCTTACAATTTTTTTTCTCTAACAAATTACTTAATTAATTTTAAAATTCTTCTTGCCAATTAATTAGCTTATGCATTTTATTAATTTTTATATTATCGAGATTAATTTTATAAAAAATGAATACGATTATTTTGCATTATGGAAATAAGTGATGCATTAAATTTGTGTAAATTGACCAACAATAAAAATTGGTTAATCTGATTGATTCTATGATAATTATTTCAAGCCATTCATATTGGTTCACCCAATTGAATGGATTAATATATTAAATCCTTTAAAATAACACTTCGGCCAGTTGTGCGACAGTATATATATTGTATTTACTATTCAGAGGCAGATATTAATACCTGCTTGTTGAATCGTGATATAAAATCAAAATACCTTTAAAACTTTCATTATCCGACCTTCGTACGATTTCCCTATTTCTATGATTTCTAAAAGTTCGGGATATTCTTGGAGAAGAAAATCGATCCATGCTTCTACCTTTATGTAATATAATATTATACGAATTATTGTTATATCTATTTCTTTTTCGACTTTTTCGTTTTCCCCAGTATAGGTGTCTAAAAAAGCGGCGAAAACATCAAAATTTAGCCTAACTTCAAATGCATACAATCCCCTCCCCCTTCTCCACGTTTATAAATAATCAAATAAAAATTCCTAAAAATAGTAATGTTTCCCAATATGATTTTGTAAACAATAAAGATGGATGTCAGATGTGGATAGCTATACTATCTCTTATTTTCATAGGATACTCAATCCATTAAAACATAACTAAATTAATATGCAGTGAAACCCGGTTATAGTGACTTAAATTTACTTTTCATTTCATCAATGGTTCATATTTGCATGGTAAACTACAGCAGAGGATAAAATTAGATCCCATGTCCGGCTTTTTATAGGGTTATTTATTGAGTTGTTTAATGATTTTTACAAGAAAACCTTTGTAATGTAATATAAAAAAATTACTTGATCGAATCTCGGAAACCGATCAAAGTTAAATGATTCATATATAACGCCATCGTGTCTTAAACGCATTTTACCGAATTGTTGGCTTTCTCTTTGTGAATCAACTAGTCTTTTGTTTTATGATTTTTTTAAGGATTTTAGAATTCACTTGAAATAGAAAATTAGGAAAAATATTTTTGGGGCAGACTTTGGCCAAGATTAGATTTATTTCGAAATTCTTATCTTTTATATAATAAGAATTTGAATTATCCTCTTAAAATTTAAATATTGTAGTCATTATATTACGATTTGAATATTGTTATCAAATAACCTCTTTATCTTCCCTAATGAATTTTTTTTAACTAAATTTAAGGGTTAAAAGCATCAAAGGCATATATTTTCCTCTGAGGTTACACACTTTTGCAATTTATCGATATTGCGTCTAAATTACATAAATATCCAAAGTTAGTTTTTGTCATAAGTTTCTAATAATTAATTTTTTAAAAAATTGTTTCATAAAAATTAAAAAATAAAATAATCTTAGGCCATTTCCAAACAGCCGTTTTTATTGGGTGTTTTCAGTATTTTTGTGATTTTTAATAACGATTAAATAACGTCTGAAAACTAGTGATCTGCATTGGGCTTAATTTTTCAAGCCCGGCCTGACCGTAAATTTTTTTTAAAAAAATTTACCGGCCTGGCTCGAATTTATTTAAATATAGAAATTAATTATTATAATTACTAAAAATAATTGATATATATTATATGGCGTCTAGTTTCTATAAATAAAATCAAATATTTTTATTTTACATTAAAAATTCAACATAAAATTTAGAAATTTAGAAATATTAAAAAAATTTCCAAAGCCCAACTCGACCCGGATTTTTTAAAAAATTAGGCCCGGCCCGGCTCAGCCCGAACCTGATTTCTCTTTAAAAAATAGGCCTGAACCCGGCCTTAATTCGGGCCGAGTACGAGCCGGACCTACTTTTGCAGATCTCTACTGAAAATTCTACTCGGATTAATTTATTTTAAAAATATTATAGTTTATAAAAAAATTAATTCAACAATTTATTCTTTGTTTGGAAATCAAAAAAAAATTAATGATAACATGCCTCAAAAAACGTTGAGTTTGGAAATGGCCTTAAAGATAGATTATATATGTTTAAATAAATAAGATTGATGATAATGTGAGTTAGATAAAAAAGATTCTTTTTTTACTCGTGCCTGTATAAAGGCATTCACCATGGTTTAAAACAATTATCTTTTTTAATTTTTTTTTTTCAAATTAAAAATTAACGTTATCCCTACCTCTCGAAATTTCCGAACCGGGTAGCAAATGTTTGTTTTTAAACTATACTAGTTATACACTTATTATATATTTTGTCGGCCATACATTACATTATTTCTCTAGTTATAAATTTGTAATTGGTATGTATGTATAAATAATAAAGGAAGAAGGCCCGGCGTGGCCCACTGGAGGTCCCGCAATTATACCCCATGAATATACTTAAGGGGAAATTTAGAATCTTTGAACCAATATTATAGGATAAAATATAACTTTTACGTTACACGTAAACAATGAAAGAACAAGTCAAGCAATGGTTAAATAAGTTTTTATTATTTTAAAGAGAATACTTTTTAACATCGGGAATGGTCTCAGCGAATAATATATTCGCTTCCTTAAGCATGCTTTGAAGGTCTAAGAAGTAGGATTGAGGAATCATTACATCCGTGTATTTCGTGGGTGATTGTATTGACGTCCAAAAATCGACCTTAAAAAGGATTTTAAAAAAAATTATGAAAATAGTTTCTTAAACTTTTTCAGAATTTATTATACAAATTTTAATAATAATAATATAAAGAAGAAAAAAATTACTTCTGGGTGATTTTTTTCGAAAATTTTTAGCACATTGATATCTGTTTCGTTTTCAGTTTTGATCCTATACACCTTATAGCTTAAGAGATTAAGTAATAAAATAAATTAAATTTTAACTTATCTAAATCCTATTTTAACTACAATAATAACTTCCTTTTAAATGAATAAGAAAAGGGTTATTATAGAAATTTGATATAAATTAATTACTCGGGTATCTATTTATCGTAGATATATTATTTTTCCAATATAAAAATTCTCTTATTAGCATTATCGGCGGTTATACTTGAGATTATATATTTTTTTGATCATTTTTAAAATTATTTTTGGATAATCAGCTGACACGCACAAAAACCTAAGTTAATCTAAAAAAACCTCCAGTCCTGATTTAAAGCTAAAAAAAAATATCGGACCTATTTCTTCAGATCCAACCCTCTCCGCAAAAACGATTTATCCAACCAATCCGATTCGATTTTTTTTATCAAAGGTCCAAGTCTGATTCGAGAATTATTAATTTAGAAATGGGTTTAGACCCAACTAGGTGCGAAATAAATTTTAAAATCAAGGAGCGAATCCAACCTAATGCTAGAAAATGATTGCTTTCACTCTCTCTCTTTCTTTTTTTGCTTTCTTTCTCTCTTTTTCTTTCTTTCTTTCTTTTTCTTTCTTTCTTTTTCTTTCTTTCTTTCTTTCTTTCTTTCTTTCTTTCTTTCTTTCTTTCTTTCTTTCTTTCTTTCTTTCTTTCTTTCTTTCTTTCTTTCTTTCTTTCTTTCTTTCTTTCTTTCTTTCTTTCTTTCTTTCTTTCTTTCTTTCTTTCTTTCTTTCTTTCTTTCTTTCTTTCTTTCTTTCTTTCTTTCTTTCTTTCTTTTTCTTTCTTTCTTTTTTATTTTTTCTTGAACAGTTAGAGGGCCTAATACAATAAATTTAAATTATATTAATTCAACAAGTTTAGATATAATGGATAATTTAACCATTTATTCTTCTCATATTTCTATTTTTCTTCCTCTATAAAATATTCCTAATTAATGATTAAATATTAAAAACCTAGAGCAGGCCTAAATTATTTTTTTTAAACTGTAAAATAGGAAAGGAAAATATATAAACTCGGACCAAGCCCTATAATGAAAGAAGGAAGATACGGAAATACAATTTTTAGCCGATGATTATATAAAAAATAGCTTAAAATAGCGAAGTTAATTTTTATAAATCAGTAGCTGGGCCACTTTTTCAAAATAGTTATAGTGGTAGCGCGCTACTTTCAAAAATACCCTTTAATAACCCTGAGGAGATATAATTGAGTTCCTAGGAAATTTAGATAGTTGTCTCGGCACACCGCTCTTTGCGTATATTTTAAAATTTTAAAAGAAGATTCATGATGTCACCCCATTAATATGAGTGATTTCCCCCCCCCCCTCCCAAAAAAAAATATTTTTTAATAAAAATTGTAGCTTAGGGGACCTAAGGACCTATTGGTAGAAATATAGCTATTGGGGTGAAATAAAAATCGTGACAATCTTTGATTTACTTCAGCTGTTATGATCGGATCAAAAACAATTTTATTTTAATGGGATAGTATCATCATAAAATCTTTTAAGTTAATATTATTATATACTAATGCAATGCATCTTCTTAAGTTAATTGTATTTTTTTTTATATAAATTGAAAAATAATTATTTATTTACCCTCTGTAATCGTTAACCTCATGTCCGGGTAGACAGCTGGATATATAAAGAGCTACCAGAAAGATCAGAATTGATATTGAAACAGAATTTCTTAACATTTGTAGTTTAGATTTGTTTAAAAATTTCAAATAAAGCGTTTATAATTAAATAACAAAATATTATATGAGTTAATATATATTGTCAAATAAATTAATTTTTATTTTTTAGTTTTTATTTTTTACTAAACGTTTACATTTGCGAGGAGATGAAATATGATAAGGGTGAGATTGAGTTAAACATAAATAAATAATAAAAAAATCATAAAGCAATTAGGTGGACAAATATTTAACGACATACATTTTAAATGACCTCATTTGAAAAGAGAAAATTTTATAAAGGAGCAAAATTAAATATTGTGTGTTAAATTTTCTTATGTATAAACAATTTAATAATATTTCACTTAGCTTTATTTTAATGATTACAAACTGAGCAATAACGTCTAGCTTGAGTTTCTACATATAAAAATATGATTGTTTTAACTTGAAGTGGTTATTTTTTTTATAAAAATTATATAAAAAAAGGTATTAAATATACAAACTAGAGGTGGACGCGGTCCTAATTTTTTATTAACGACCCGCCCGCTCACGACAAGCAATATTTTGATTCATGCTCGAAAATTCACGGTGTTTTTAAATTTTTCAAAACTATTGCTATAATTTTACACTTTTTTGAATTCATTCTATTTATTTCTCTAATTTCATAATCCATATTAATAACAAAAAATAAATACAATCTATAAATCAAAATTTATTTGAAAAAAGAAGAATGTCCATCTTTTTTTATTTCAATTGTGTACGCCTTTCCTCTAGTAAGAGATTGGCTACAGAAAATAACCTTTCACTAGAAGCCGAACTTGCAGCTGACAAAATTTTACTTGATAATTTTCTCAAAAAAGGAAATGAATATTCCTGCTTCCAAAACTTCAGAATACTGTCGTTTTATCTTATATGAATCTTTTAAGTTCATCCTCATAGCTTTCATCGGTGATGCTTCATCAGAATCATCTAGAAATTCTCTAAAAATTTTTTTAGAATATAAGGTCTTTTATGAGTGTAGGATGAATTAGGAAAGTGATAGTTGGTATTGACCATTTAGAATATACGATTTTATATGAGTTTAGGATAAGTTAGGAAAGTTATAAATGATAGTTGGCATCGACTTATACACATCATTTAATTTTTTAGCATTTTTATGATTGTTTTATATATATCATTTTCTTCATTTATTAAAAACTTAAGTCTTTTGAAATTCGTATCTAGAATTAAGTCTACCTTATGTAGTGGCTGCATAATAATCTTTTAAAAGAAATCTTGTTCTGTATTTTAAGGTTTTGATTATAATTGTATCACGTTTAGAAGGTTAACAAAATTTTATTAATTTTTGTTTCCATAGAAAAACTTTATTTATTGTGAGACGAGAATCTGCTCTCAGATTATACGAGCATTCTTTAAATATTGATAAAAATTTATCTAACTCACGTATGATACTGATATCAATTGTGGCTAATCTATTTAATTTTTGCTTGCTAAACAAGTACACTTGTATTTCAGAATATGATTTGAAGAAACTCTGTATCATGATATATACAGATCTGTATCATGATATATACAGAGTTCCATCTCGTTATTCTCGCTATTACATCTTGTTTAAGGGTGTGGCTTAGTTTGATATTAGCTGTAGATTGTTTGAAATATTGTACTATTTTTTTATATCATTTATATTTAAGGCTATTTCAGTTAATTGTCAAAAATATAATGCATAATATTATTTAGTATATATGGCATATACATGCTAGCGTTTCGTCATCTTTGAATGCACTTATAAGATTTGCTCCGTTATCACTCACAACTATACATTTATTTAAGCAATTTTCTACTTCTGTATATTCTCCTAAAATTGAATTGACTACACTTTTAATTTTGACGCTTTTTTCATCCATTGCCCTAGTGGCCAAAACAAATGTTTTTAATTAAAATCCTTAATGATAATATGTCCTATAATGGTTCAAAAACTTAGATTTTTATAGTCATCCGTCCAAATATCAGTGATTATGGACAATGATCATGCTTTTAATCTTAAATTTTATTTCATGGTATATTTTTGGACCTATAGTATTCATAAGAGTATTCCGGTTCACAACTTTTATATTTTGTTATCCATATGTAACACCAACATTTATCTCTTCTAGCTTTAAAATCCTTCACTTTCTGTTGCATTTAAAGATTGAAGATCTTTACAAATAAAATATAACTGACTTTTCTGTAAAAAGTTTAAGCAAAATTTAGCATAAGGTCTCGCGATAAAAAAACACCTAAACAAAAAAATAAAATAGGACTAACAAAATGATACCTGATTTGTTTATAAAATGCGGAAGATTTTTAGTTTTCATTAATTATTCTTTTTTAAAAAAGAACTAAATTAAATAAGAAAATATATAATAAAATTGCAAATTTATATTTATAAAAAAACAATTTTAAAAATTAAAATTTCCGTGATTCACGGGAAATTTATGTTCACACCCGATCACGCCTGGGGAAAATTTTGGGAAGGCCCGTCACGCCCAGTCACGCCTTGGAATTTAAAATTTATTCACACTCACGCATTACCCACCGTGACACGATGGGTCACGCGTAATTTCACGGCCCGCGCCCACTCTAATACAAACACACAATTACCAATACTGTTTATAATATATTTGAAACCATATAAACAGTAATTTAAAAGCACAGTATGGAGTAAAGTGATCCTACGTCGAATCATCTTTTGGTTGCACTATCTTTAAGAAACAATAATTATTTTATATCCCAAGTCTGTCCGATGAAAAAAAATGTCCCGCTCTGCCCCAGTCGTTTTGTTTCGATTTTCAGTTTTAAAATGATTAGCAAAACTCTTTTAACATCCATCTTATTTATAATTTCTGTTAAAAATTTTATCCTAACTCTTTGTAATTGTCACTATTCTCACCATCATGTATAAAACATAGTATTGGTACATGATATCTTCTGGTAAAATTATTCCATATAATTTTTTTACTATACCACGCAATTATTTAAGCTTGTAGGGTAGGAGGAACCGAGTCAAAAGAAAGTTGAGTGTTAAAAATAAAATCATCTTGGCAGATTCAGATAGCCATGAGATGTAACCAGAGAAAAATAGAATGGGTGGCATCTAAGGATTCAGTCATTAGAATATAGGAAATTGTAGATAAAACAATTTGTCCTCCTTTTCATGTAAGAAAATTCGTCCTCTTCCAATTTTTAAAAATATTATAATGATAGTTGATATGTATTGGTAGTCTAATTAACGTTTAGGTATCATAGCGCAATAAGCTGAAGTAGTTTATAATATCTACATTTATCTTAATTATTTAATTAAATCTCGCTAACATTGTTTGACTTACTATTGTTCAAGAAGAGGTTGAGAAGAATCATCACGAACTAAAAATTTACCAATCTCATTTATCCAATTGATTTGGCTAACGTTCTAATTATCAAGAGCGATAAAATTCAATAACTAATATATTTTTTTGAATATGGGGGCCAGAAAAATTTTAGGTGTGAGGTCAAAAATTTTTATCGAATGGACCAAATTTAAAAGGCAAATTTATTTTGGGGGCCTGTCACCCCCTTGTGGATACCTGTCTGCTTTCATTGGATTCAAAATTTGGATGCAAAGGTTTTGTTGAATGCAATTTCGTTATTAACAACCAGCTTCTCCCCAAAAATGTAAATGTTTTCTTGCCTTTCTTGTTGTAATAAAATATAACAATTTAGTGAATTATATTATTTTTTTAAATTAATGTACGGAAATGTGGATACATTGTAATATTTGGAATTATATTGGATTGATTTTGTAAAATTTAGATTATTTTAAAAAATCGAAGGCAGTATGCAACAGGGAAAGAAAGAAATAAAAATTTATCTATAATTTTATTCTAAAATAATTTTACCTCGCTTAATTATTTTTTAAAAAGGCCAGGTGATGTGGCTTATTGAAAGAAATGTTTATGAATTTTCTTCTGAAAAACAATTTCAATCAACAAAAGGAATTATCTCGAAAAATTTTAAGCGATAGCTTTGGGTATATTCTTAGAAAAAGGAACTAAAGGAAATATTCATTTTTTAAAATAATTTTTAAGGATAGCATTTTTTTAAAAAAAATAAAAATATATTTATTATAATTAGATAGAGAATAACACCATACCATAATATTAAAAAATAGAGGATTATTCTAAATTATATTTTAGCAATTTTATTGGTGATATGGAAGAATACCGATTCATAGAGAAAAAAAAAATGCACTTTGCAAAAAATGGTAGAAAACTATGATCCTCAGCCCATGATTTATCGAGTAGAGACAATTTCAGTAGATTCACCTAATTGTCTTGAAAAATTAAAGGCAATAACATACAAAGAAGGAAAGAAAGTGAATGTTTAATGAAATTTTCTGTAAATTTCTCAATTTTCTTGAAAAATTTGTGGCAATACGTATTTTAACGTGATATGACGGTAACATATAAATATCCACACTCACAGATTTCTGCTTATCAAGCTTCTAAAGATTTATACTCAACTTTTTGAACAATAAATAATATTCAAATACGGTTGAAGGTTGGTAAAAAAACATAAATAATATTTGTTTTATTACAAAGATTAAGAATGTTTCTATTAGTTTATTAGTAATAAACTTGATAAAATAAAAGTTTTATATTTTATTAAATTTTTTTTTTGTTACAATAACAATACAATTAACTGATTATAAATATAGTTACAATTAAATATCAATTATTTACCTCATTTTTTGTAAAATTATAATCAAATTATAACAGTATAATATAGTATCCACAACATGATATCAATACACTAGTATTTAAATTTAATTTATTTAGTACTTGTCTCTCACATAAATTTTTTTTAATAACTATTACTTCATTTACAGTTTTGTAAACATATTATAAAGGGAAAATATTTTTTATATAATTTAGAACTCCAAAATTTAGTCGCAATGGTTATTATTATATCATATATGAATTATAGGCGTATATACTGGTTAACAATACTTTTAAAATATCGAAA